TCCCTTGGCATCAACATGGCTTTCCTGGAGGGGGTGACCTGTCAGAAACTTGCTGAAGCAACCTGTGAAAAGGAATGCGTGGTCTGTTTTACAACGCCGCCTGGATCTGCATTGGTGCTCAGATCCCCCCCCCCCCCCAGGATTTGAGGACTAACGATGGATCGAAGCGCCGCTAACAGTGCCTCAAGCCAGGTGCTGGCACCATGGGCGCACCAAAAGCCATCTCACTGAAGCTCAGAAAGACCGCGAGAGGGTTCGGTCTTAGACCCGCGTCCGACGACGGGGAGTTCGAGGCATGCGCCAAAATAAGCGCGTTGATGACATCAACATGTTTGGCACTGAAGACACTATCGACAGGTGCGTCAAATGCGTTGAGGATACGTTTGGTAAATGTAAGCTCGACAAACATGCGCATGTCAATTGTGTTGCGAGATATACAAAGGATGGTGGCGGTAACGTTACACTTGATCAGGACGAATACATAAAACAGCTCCGTCCTATACAACATCCTGAACACACTGGCGCGGGCGCTGATGTCAAGGAAAAGATGGTCGCTGACATGGTTGGCAGCCTCCAAGGCGCTTTGGCTCACACAATAGTCACGCAGGCGCGCTTGATGGCACATGCTGTTTCCCTGCGTCGGGTCCAAGAACCGACCGACATACATGCGCGACGACTGAGCGCGATCACCAGGAAGTTGCAGGCCTGCCCGAAGAAGATCATCTATCGACCGATGACACCAGCGGGCGAGGTCGAACTTCGCAGTGCCTCCGGCTATCGACGTTTGAGTGGAGATGTGGATGACGAGGTCAACGGCTATGGTATTCGCGGGGCAAACCTGCTACGGCGTGGAAACACGCTTGCTGGTACGCTTGTCGTTCTTCTTATCGATGCGCACTATAAGCCTGGCCGCTTGCATGGTCGCTCGAGCTAGTCAGCAGAACACTAGCAGCAGCCCGCCACTTGGAGGACTGGTATCCCACGATCGTCGCATTGCACGAGCTCCACGCAGGGCCGCTGGAACCCATTCAGTCGAGGGATATACTGGAGATGGGCGGCCTGAGCATGAAGGTCACTTTGGCCATAGGGGCGGAAGCTGTCTTCAAGTCCCTGTCAAGCAAGGACCTGAAGAAACCGACTGGGTGAACCCTGTTGGACACACCAGTTGGGTACGACAGATGATGGATCGAGGTACCGTATATAGTATACAGTGGTGTGACACTCGCGACATGACTGCGGACGGCCACGCCAACCGAATCATTGACAACAATCTGATATTACAGGTCATGGGAGGAACGCAGTCCTTCAAACATGAGTTAAAACGGCATGCTCCGTACCTGGCTGGCCAGACAGCGTCGTTTGGGGCCGCCTGAGGAGTACTCGCCTGCAGGTCGATCCGCCCGCAAGGCAACTTGCTTGCAATGGCGGTTGCGTGCGGGTCAACCGTCCTTTTGAACCTGCCTGCTGCTGCCTTCCTTGTATATACAGCGTTTACTGTTTAGCGGGCGGCGGACTCACACTTCGTATCCCCCCCCGGCTCTAAAAGGAGTTGGGGCAAAGACGAGAAATATCGAGCGTTTGTCCGCGGCCGTTTGTGGTCAAGCGGCCGGCCGCCAAGATATGACCGAACCTCATCGCGAGGCACACCATGTGCTATTGAGACCAAAAACAGATTCGCTTGACATGGCCCGTCGCTCCCGCGACGATCTCCTACTTCTGTGGTTATCGCTACTACGGCACAACAGAGTCTTTGCCTTAGGCGAAGGTGCTGGATGGGCCTCCCATGCCCAGTCAAACTCTGGAGACCTCTGGAGAGCCTCTTCTGCCGATTTGGTGCCGTCTTGGGGCGTCGGGACGTCGAAAGGGCAAGAACGCCAGAACCCCCCAACAAATTTGAATAACATACTTGAATGTTGTTTGCTGGGGCCCTCATGGCGTGCTCTTGGAGGCCTCTCCGAGCGTCTTGGCAGCCGCTTGGGCTGTCAGGAGGCCATCTGTGGTGACTTGGACCGATTGTTCGGCGATTCGGTGCCTTGTAAAACCGTTCTGGGGGCCTCTTGGGCTGTCTTGGGGCGTTTTTGGGCCCCGGGGCCCCCCTGGGGGAGGATGGTATGCTTACCCGGGACCCCCCTGGGGAACGCCCCCAGGACGCCACCCGGGACCCCCCCGCCCCCGAGGGGGCCAGGGATCAAAGGGAAGTGGCTTCCCTTCGACTCAACTACGACATTGCTCAATTTTGTTTTGGTTCCGCTTTGCCTGGCTCGCTTGAGAAGGAAGGCCCAGTGAAATGGGGAGGGGGGCGACGGGCCCAGGGAAAAGGTGGTCAAACGCTACGGCGACAAGAACGACGACGTCGACGACAACGACGACGACGACGGCGACGACGACGTCGACGACGAAGACGACGACGACGAAGACGGCGACGACCACGACGACGACGACGAGGAGGAGGACGAGGACGACCACGACGACAACCACGACGACCACGACGAGCATGACGAGTCAAATCGAACAGCATCTTCCACACGCCGACGGGGTCGGCGGATTTGGATTTGAGGAGCTGTCCTGGTGTCCGACGGGTTGGGTCCAAGCACCTGTGTGATACCACAAGAATCAAAAACGATTGTGAGGATTTCTTGGGAGGCCTAACTTATGCCTCTTGGTGGCAGTTTTGGGAGTGTCTTGTGGGCCTCCCAGGGGCCTGAGTTGGGCATCTCAGGGCATCTTGGGGGCCTCTTGTGACTTCTTGGACGCACACCTGGGGGACCTCGCGCGTGTCGTCGCACAAATCATTTGCAACAAATGGGACGAAGTGCGCGCGCGCGCGTAGTCGCGCGCGCATGCCGAAATCCGTCAAACACCTTCGGTGTCTTGAGGAGCCTCTGGAGCCGTCGAGCCCAAAATGCGTAATGATTCCAAAAGCGATTGTCAAAACACATATAAAGCACATGGTTTCGCAACACCAGTTTTTAAAAAAGCGTACGCAAGTCATCGGTTTATATCCATGTTCATGGAATTATGCCAAATGGGCCTGTTGCGCCGCATGCCGGAATCATTCGCACGCCTTTGCGCGCGTGCTGGGGGGGCACGATTTGTGTGAAGTAATACCATGCGGGCTTCTCTCGCGCGTCGGCCGCGCGCGCATGCCGAACTTTTCCGAAACCTTCATCACCGACGCGAGGACGCCGTCATCGTCGTCGGCGTGATCAGCATCGGCGCCCGCGCTGGCCGCGCCGTCGTCGTTGTCTACATCGTCACCAGCATCGCTACTAGCATCATCGTGTCTACCGTTGTCGACGTTGCCATCATATTGCGCCCGCCCGAGTCGCCGACTCGTACCGAAGTGCCCGCTAGCATGTGCCCAGCGGTCCGCGCCACCGCGGCCGCGTGGGTCGCGCCAAACTAGGTGGCCGCTGCGCGCGCGTGCTTGGGTTGGCGCGGCCGCAGAGATTCATCAGCCAACGCCGAGCAATCATCGCAGTCGCCACCGTATGGGTTTTGCATGCCAAGTTGCGGGTGGTGTTGGTGAGATGCTTGCAAGAGCACGGGATGTGCCAATTCGTTTGTACAACTCGCGCCACATATACTGCACCACGTAAGTCGCACCACATATAGTGCACCACTTCGATTGCACCACCTAAATGACCTATATCGCATCACGTAGTTTGCACCAAACAGATTGCGCCACTTACATTACATCACATGTACTGCGCCACGTCGCATGCTAGGACACACTGCTTGGGGCCCGCGTTGGTTTTGATAAGAACCTTGCCAGACTGGCAGAGGACGAGGGGAGTGAGCGAGTGTGTGAGAATGGCACAGGGAAAGAGAAGAGAAGGATGGGTTTGAGGGACAGAGGATTTGTAAGGGGATGGGGGAGGGGAAGCAGAGGGAGCATGAGGACGATTATGAGGGGAAGCCGCCAGTCGCAGGAAGAGTCGTCTACCTTTCCCTTCCATTCCCCCTCTTCGTCCCACTCACGTCCCAATCCCCCCTCACCTTCCCCATCTCCCTCTCCTCCAATTTCCCCTTCCCCGATCCCCACCAGCCCCCTGCCCATCAGCCCCCTTCCCATCACCACCCCTCGCCAACCTCTTCCATTCCCCCTTCTCCTCTTCTCCCCCCTCCCCATCGTCACTTCACTGTCAATACATGTCAATGCCATGCGAGCCTGAACAAGATTCAACAGACACGAACTTTGCAGGCTGACAGTTGCTACGACAAGTCCTAATTCGCAGCGCCGGTCGTTCCGCTCGCTTTGCGACGCGACGCCTCCAGGCGCTCGGAACGGGGTCGCCCATGCCTCATCCAGCTTTTGGGTCGCCCCTCTCCCCATCACCTACACATCCCATCACCCTCCTCTTGCCTCCTCCTCCTCCCGTTGTAGTGCTCCTCGCCCTCCCTTGCTGATCCTCTTCCTGATCCTTCTCTTTCTCACCCTGACTACTCCCATCATCCTTCCTTCCTGATCGTCTCACCCTTTTTGTTCCTCTGTCTCCTCCCCGCCACCATCACCCCTTTTGAAGAGACACGCCGAAGGCCCCCAATAATAATTGAGATGTCCACCATCATCCTGCCGACAGGCCCTCCGGCCGAAGCCCTACATGCCGCCACGCCGCTCCCAGGCAGGCTGTTCGGGCTGCCTGGCGGAAAGGGACGAGGAGGGGAGAAGCAGGCAGACGACGACGAACGCCCAGGCGGGAGGCCAGGGCCGGTGGGGCGGGCGGGCAGGCCGAAGAGGGGGTTCTTCCCCTTCCTTCACTCCTTCCTCCCAACATCCCCTTCTCCATCTTCTTTCCCGCTGCCCTCTTCCGTCCTCTCCATCCCCCTTGTGTGGGGCGAGCGCACCTTTCTTTCCACCCTTTACATCCCCATCCTTCCCTGTTTCCCCCTCGCATCCGTCCCCCCGTCCCCATTCTTCCCATCGTCCCCCCCCCACTTTCCCGCGCCCCCGTTCCCTCCCTCTGTAGCTTGCGAAGGGCCCCTGAACACTTCTCGTAAAGGTATATGGTTCGAATCAGTGGTAGGGTCCGATATGCGATCTCAGGCGCAGCCGGAAGGATGTTGTTTGCTGGCGCGGCGCGGTGCTGTGTCTACGAGTCGTAGGTGCGCCAGTGCGGCGGCTGCTGCGCCGAACCTTCTCCATGGTGGAGCAGGCCTCGCCGTGAGCCAAATCGGTCCTGAGGGGAAGGAGTCCTGGGCTCCCCCAGCCGCCTTCGGACCCCCCTGGTCCTTGCTTGGCCCCAGGGCCGTCCAGAAGCGGCCCTGGACGAAACGCGGGTTCCGAGGAGGCCCCGGGGAGTCCAGGGACTCGTCTCTCGCTCTCGGGGCCCCGTCATGGCCCGTGGCAGAGGCAGCGGACGCCGATCTGGTCGGCGAGCGGCTCGCTGCCGGTGGCGGCGCTGCCAGCGAAGTGGCGGACCCCTCCGCCGCCGCCGCTGCTTCGGGCTCCAGCGGCCTGTCCCCGCCTCCCTCGCTCGTCAAGCCACCGCCACCACGAGCGGGCCACCTCCAGCGAGGATGTCCGCGATGCCTCCCCGGGCTGGAGGCTGGAGTTTTCTCGAGGGGGGCGCCGCAGGACAGGGGGGGGGGGGGGGGCACACCGCCAGGACGAGCGTCCCTGGCTCCTCACGGTGGTGGCGGTGGTGGCGGTCTTCTTTGCTACCTCGCTCGGGGCTGAGATCTCGTGCTGCAGCCTTTGGGACTGGCCGCCGGGCCTTCGAGGCTTCGGCCCGCAGGGCCTGGAGCTCGCCCTGCGATCCCGCGGGCGAGCTTGGTCCTGCGTGCCTCTCTCCTTAGGTGTTCGTTTGGGGGACATTCCTGGTGCCACCTAACGGATTTGTTCGTCCCAAGTTCGACTCATGATCGACTCAAGTTCGATTCGGGTCCGACTCAAGTTCGACTCAGGAGCGAGTGTCTCCAGGAAGGTGCCCAGAATGAGCATCCAACTCTCCATCCCTCCACCCTCAGCATGAGAAAAACATGTCCTGAGGGAGACGGGTCTGGAGATGTTCGACAGCGCGTTGCTTCCGATGGCCCTTTCCTGGGCACTCGGGCTTGAGGTAAAAGTTCAGCACGCAAAGTTTGTCTTGGGGGGAACCCAACGGGTCCAGGACCCGATTCCCTCAGGACATTATTTGATATGCTTGCCACCCCAAGCCAGCACGAATAGATCAGGGCAGTTCCCCGCTGCGCGGGGAAAGGTGCGGAGGCATCGTCCACGAGCTTCTACACTTCCATCTGCTTACCCGCGCCCCTGTCCACGAGCTGGCGACCTTGGGAGAGGCTTCCGCGGCAGCCGCCTGCGCGACAGCTCGTGGCGGCGCTGCTTGCGTGGAGTAATGCCAGACAGTCAGGTACCACGCAGGGCGCGAAGATCATCACGGATTCGCGGTCTGGGTCGGAAAGGCGTTGCTCTCCAAAAGAGCGGCGCACGAGCGCGAAGACAAGCGCGTTTCCGCCCGCGCGTCGCAGGGCGCGAGGTTCGATGACCCAGCTTGTCTGTGGGGGGGCATTCCTGCTGGACAGCCGCACCGTTGGTCAGCCGCCGCAGCCTCTGCCCAGTCCAGGAACTGCACTGGGACTCGGCGAACGTGCTCGCCGAAGGTTCCAACAAGGTCATATTCGGCGGCTCTTTCAGGCCGGGGAACGCCAACTGAACACTTCCCTCACATTTGGGCGATCCGAACGAAATATCACGACGGCTTGTTTCGCCCCGTTTCGGACCCCAGGGCCATCACTGATCGATCTGGCCAACTGGATGAGACAGAAAGATTGGGCCGAGATCGCACCCACAATGCCTCACGACGTTGCATGTGTGTTGCTTTACGGCTTCGGATCTTGGGGTACATCGATCTTGACCAGGCAAATCTTGGCCTCAACGTCGGGGCAGAATTATGCATTCCTGAGTAAGCCATGATCCAGGATGGCGTTTTCACAGGGCCTGAATCCAGGATGGGCCTGGACAGGGTCGGGGTGTATAGTCGGCGGCCCCTATCAGGGGGGTGAAGGTTGTCGTCTGCCGACCTCGCCGCACCGTCGAGATTGACATCTGGCGAGCGGAGAATGAGATCATGGTGCTGAAAGCCCTGGGGCCCAATCCTGCGATCATTCAGCTGATTGCCAGCGGGATGATCGCCAGCGGAGATAACCACATGATGCCGACATTGGTGCTGGAGATAGTGCAACCCATTGGATTTGATCTCAATCGACTTTGGAGTCAGTATGCTCTCACTGGGTTCCAAGTGCCAGAGCGTTTGTGCGGCCGTCTCTTTCTGCAGATGGTAGGGGGCTTGCAGCATATGCATAGCAGACGCATATTGCACCTCGACTTGAAAACGGCAAATGTGCTAGTCACAGCCACGTACGATGCCAAACTGTGCGATTTCGGCATGTCGGACAACATCGGCGCCATGAAACGCATGCAGTGTCGGCGGGGGGAGATGCACTACATGCCCCCCGAGATGCTCGAGGGCATGGACCTGGATGCGGCGGCAGACTGCTGGGGCCTCGGCGTGATCCTCCACCAGACGTACAACCACGGCGAATTCAGACTCGTGCGCTACTCCGAATCCCAGAGGCCCACCGACCCTGAGGGGCCTGTTGTCCGCCACTTCCACCACCACCATAACTTGGAGTGGGAGGGGTCCTCCTCCTCCTCCTCCTCCTCCTCCTCCTCCTCCTCCACCTCCTTCCCTTCTCCAACTTATGGTGGTGGTGGTGGTGGTAGAAAACAGGTCCATCAGATCCATCTCTCTCCACCTTTCGCCCTCCCCTGCTTCCTGCCTCGTGCTCGCCCCGCCGCTGCCCCACGCCGCCCACGCGCTCGCACCACCGCTGGGTAGAACGGGGGTGGCCGCGCACCTGCCGGGCAGGCGTGGGCTGGCCCCGGCGGGGGGCTCTCGAGAGGCCCCGCCGCACCCAAAACGACGCCGCGGAAGGCGAGCTGCGCCGTGAGATCGGGGACGTGCGAGGGAGGCTCGCGCCGCAGACCGGACACGCTCTGCACCCGGGCCGCGGTCAGAGAAGGGGAACCGAGATGGTTCCGATTCGAAGGAGAAATACAATGCGCAAACTGAAATTTTCGGAGCTCCGCGCGGATTTCTTGGATCGGCGCTGGGACCCCCTGGCGGCGCCGCCTCCGGCGCCGCCCTTGGCGCGCTCCGCGCGCCAGGGAGGGGGTTTCAACGCAGATCCAAGAAGTCCGCGCGGACATGCGCGGACCTCCAAAAGTTCATGTGCATGCAGTTGTTTCTTCCTCTAGTCAGAGAAGGGCACCCGAGTTTGCTCCAATAGCGTGCGTGTCTTGCGCCAGAGGCGTGTGCGAAGAGCCGAGGTGTCCACGCGCACCACAGGCATGTTGAGCACAAACACGCATGTGTGGAGGCACTGCGGTCGGAAGTCTTCCGCCTCTGAGTGCCCCTTCCCTCCTCCTCCGCGGCCGCCCCGTCTGTCTCATTCTTGATTCGTGCATGCTGGTCAATTCGCTTTTTGGTCCCCCCGTTTAGCTCCATCGCTGTTGCAGGCATTCTGCCTCGCCGCCGACGAGGCCATGAGGTATTGCTCACGTTCTTGCTCGCGCCGCATTCGCGTAATCATTGCTCCTACGTGAGCGCACCAGCCTTCTGGGTCCACCCGCACTTTACCTGGACGAGGGCCCTGCGCAAGAGGTCTGCCCCTGCCCAATGAAGTGGCAGCGCCCAGTCTGAGTGGCCCTGCAACTCGCCCCGACCCGATTCGGAGGATATCAGTGAGAGGAGCTGTTTGCTGCACGATGCCGAGGTTCCACGCGCGACGGGACGTGAAACCTTGTGGACGGAAGTCGGGGACTTGTTGGTTTCCTCTTCTGAGGACGATCGTTGCGCAGGGCGAAAGCGACCAGGCAAGTGGGGCAGACTTCGCGACGCAGCAGTATGGTGGCGCGCAGGAGCAGCCGCGAGCCGCAGAGGTCACCGAGTGCATCGCTCTGGCCAGCGGACACTCGCCACATCCCACGTCCCCTCGGGGCCGATCTAGAATCTTGCATCCGTTTTCTTTGCGCGCTTGCGCCAGCGGCGCCGAGGGGCAGCGCGTCGTCCAGGAAGGCCCACTAGGCGCCAGCCAATCACGGGCCAGCCAGCGCCCCCACTGCTCAAGGGTGATCCGCCACGCCAGCCTAGCAGGTCGCGCTCCTCCACCACATGGGGCCCGCTGCGGTGTCCTCAGCCACCTCTGCAGGAACCCCCCCCCAGACGACGACACCGAGTCCGACGCCGACGCCGACGCCGCTGCCGCTGCCGCTGCCGCTGCCGCTGCCGCCGCCGCCTCCGCCAACGACGTGTCGGGGGGCCGTCGGCTCGGCGTGTCGGGGTTTGCGCCAACCTCCACAGGGGCCGCCAGCGGCTCCGACCCCGGCAGGACAGCCACGGCCACGGCACGACCAGCCACACACGATCAGCAGTCTATGACAGGTGCCAGCAATATTGCTAGCGACCAAGCATGGCCGACCGCGCATGTGACGTTCGCGTCCCCCCCCTCCCCCCGTCCTCCTCCTCCCATGCCCCTTCCCGCTCTTGCCCCCCGTCCCCCTCAGGCGATGGAAAAAGAGAGCGGAGGTGCCCATGGTCGCGCGAGCTCCCGAGCCGATACAGGACTGGGGGACGAGGGTGGGGGCGGGCAGAAGGGAGGCGCCGGCTTGCACCGCACGCACTCCCTCTTTGACGGTTCGACGAATGGAGCCTGAGGGCTGGGGCCCTGAGGTTGGGGAGAGGACCATCAGCTGACCTTTCACCGGTTGAGGGTTTCTTTCTCGGGACCCCATTTTTGAACCGCCGACCTCTGCCAACCCGTTGCCATGACCCGCCATCCCCCCGATGAGTGTGTTTGCAGGCTGATGCCTGGCACATCGCGTGCGCCAGTCTGGTTCCTCTAGAAGGCCATCGTCTACATGACTACTCGGCAACAGGCATACGCAGCCTCGCCTGCTGAAGCACCGTGCGGGCAGCCCGCTGCTCTCCCAAGCCCGACGCCTCCCCCGGGGGGTGGGGGGGGGCGCAGGTGCGGGCTATCGCGCGTCTCTCCCCCCTGCCCCCCTAAGACATACCAAGCAAGGGAAGACCAGTCGAATCGAATTCGATGACCCCGTCACTCTCCCCAGGCTCATTCGGGCAGCGCAGCAGGCAACATGCGCTGGAGGACGAACGCAGCAGCAGCCAGCAAGAGTCTGCCAGGCCTCTCAGCGCCGCCAGGGCGCCAACTAGACGAGGACCCCTACAGCCAGACGCGATGGTCCTCCCCCCCTCTCCCCAGGGAAGGAGCTCTAGGCCTCCTGGATGGGGTCGGAGCTGATGGGATCGGAGGATCGCGCCGCATCGCCGATGCATCGCCGATGCGACTCGATGTGCAGCCCGATTTGCGTCGCATCGACGTCGCCGATGCATCGCCGACGTCGCCAGTGCATCGCCGATGTATCGCCGATGCATCACCGATGTATCGGCGATGCGGCGCGATCCTCCGACCCCATCTGCTCCGACCCCATCAGTCGGAGGCCTCCAGAAGCCGTGTCTGGCTTTGGCCCGTTTCGGCTCCATCGGCCCGCGGCGGTTCCAGCGGGCCCCGCTGCGGCCTCGGCCCCCTTGTTCGGCCCCGGCCCGAGCCGTGACGGGCCGCGGCCGAGGCGCCGCGACCGAAGCGCGCCGAGGCCGAAACGGGCCGAGGGTTGGGTCGGGCACGTCCCTCCACAGGAGGGAGGTTCATGAGTGGTCCAAAAATCGCATGGGGACGATTCTTCGATCAGTTTCGCGACTCTCTTTGAGCATGTCCTGACTGCCTCTGATTTGTCCTCCAAAGTCCGCCCGCAGGGGGACATGCCCGACCTGAGCCGAGGGAGCCGAAGCGGGACCCAGAGCCGAGTCGGGCCCCCTGCCTTTGCACGCCCTCGAGGCCTCGGGGGCGGGGCACCAGAAGCAGGGCGGAGAGGCCCCCCCCCGCCTCGCGCTCGGGTGCCAAGGTCAAGCTGCGTGCCGGCATGGCTCCCCACGTTGAGCCGGGTAGCAAATCATGGGAGCCTTGTGTATACTTGCATCCGGGGGCGGCTCGGGCGCAGCCCTGCGGGATGTTTGTGGGGGGCATCACCTGTCCAGATGATCGAGAGCCTCAGAAGCTGCTCCGGCTAGTTTCAGACAGCCATGGCATTTCCTCGGATAGTCTCGGATTGCATCGGATATTGCGCGGATGGCTGGGTCAGGGGAATACGTAGATAAGGCCCCCCCATACAAATTCCATATAAGCAAGAATTGGGATGGCCGCTCTTTTTAGCAGGAAGAGACACCCCGACCCCCGTCCTCGTCGTTTAACCAGCTGCCGAGCTTTACTGACCACCCCTGTCACGCTCGATTCCTCTATCTAGGAAAGGGCGCTTTCTGTGGTCGCTTGTAGGGTCCACCCCGGGTTCGGAACCCAGGGGGGGTGAGGGGAGAAAATGTCCCCGCGATCCCCCCTGGGGTTCGAACAAGGGGCCGCGGGGGAGGGGGGCCTCGACGACGGCGTCGTGCTCGGCGTCGTCGCCGTCGTCGGCGTCGTTGTCGGCGTTGTGCTCGGCGTCGTTGTCGGCGTCGGCCTCGTCAGCCTCGTCGTCGTCGCCGTCATCGTCGATGTCGGCGTCGGCGTCGGCGTCGGCGTCGTTGCTGGCGTCGACGTCGGCGTCGGTGTCGGTGTCCGTGCCAGGCGTCGTCGTCGTCGTCGGCGGCGGTGGCGGCGGAGACGGCGGCGTCGGCGTCGGCGGCGGCGCCGGCGTCGGCGCCTGCGTCGGCGTCGTTGTCGCCGTCGTGCTCTGCGTCAAGCTTGTCGTGGTGCTCGGCGGGGTCGGCGTCTGCGTCGGCATCGTCGGCGTCATGCTCGTCATCGTCATCGTCGGCGTCGTCGTCTGCGTCGGCGTCGGCGCTGGCGTCGGCTTCATTGACGGCCTCGGCGTCGTCGGCGTTGTGCTCGGCCTCGTGCTCGGCGTCGTTCTCGGCGGTGTCGTCGTCGCCGGCGTCGGCGTCGGCGTCGGTGTCGTGCTTTGCATCGTTGTCGTCGTCGACGTCGTCGGCGTCGGCATTGGCGTCGGCGTCGTGAGCGTCGGCATCGGCGTCATTCTTGGAGTCGTGCTCGGCGTCGTGCTCTTCGTTTGCGTCGGCGCCGTCGTCGGCGCTGGCATCGGCGTTGGCGTCGGCGTCGTCGGCGTCTTGCTTGGCGTCGTTGTCGGCGTTGTGCTCGTCGTCGTCGTCGTCGCTGGCGTCGGCGTCGGCGTCGGCGTCGTGCTCGGCGTCGTAGTCGTCTTCGTCGTCGTCGGCGTCGGCGTCGGCGGCGCTGTCGTCGTCGTCGACGTCGACGTCGGCGTCGGCGTCGCGCTCGGCCTCGTGCTCGACGTCGTGCTCTTGGTCGACGTCGACGTTGGCGTCGTCGTCGTCGGCATCGGCGCCGGCGTCGGCGTCGGCGTCGTTGTCGGCGTCGTGCTCGGCGCCGTGCTCGGCGCTCGGCGTCAACGGCCTCGTGCTCGGCGTCGGCGTCAGCGTTGGCGGCATCGTGCTCGGCGGCGTCGTCGTCGTCGCTGTTGTGTCGTCGTCGTCATCATTGTTGTTTTGTCGTTGCTCTCGTCGTCGTCGTCGTTGTCGTCGTCGTCACCGTCAGCGTCGTCGTCGTCTTCGTCGTCGTCGTTGTCGTCGGGATCGTCGTCGTCGTTGTTGTCGTTATTGTCTTCGCTGTCAGTGCCGCCGCTATCGTGTCGTCCTCGTCCTCGTCCTCGTCATCATCGTCGTCGTCGTCATCGGTCGTCGTCGTTTTTGTCGTCGTGGTCGTCGTCGTCATCGTCGTCAATGTCGTCGTCGTCGTTGTCGATGTCGTCGTCGCCTTCCCCCCCCCCAAGGAGCGAGCCAGGGTGAGGGGCTTTAACCGCCCCCCCCCCGCCCATCCCCCACACACCCGGTTTCCAAAGAGGGGAGGCTCCCCCCCCTTCTCCCCCCAAGGGGGGGAGCCCCCACCCTCTCCGAAACCCCCGTGGGAGGGGCGCATTTTTTCCAAGCAAGCGCCCCAGAAGTTCGTTCATTCCTATCTAGGCACGTTAATTCAAGGGCCTTGACTTCAGCGCAGTGTTCACCATGCTGGTGGTTGCCCCACCCTAGGGGGCTTGCCGCCAGGTTTTCCCAAGCCACGCTGGTGCACGCAGTGCGCGCTCGTTTCTGGGTCTGGAAGCGAGCCAGCCAGATAAAGGGATAGCAGTAAGGATGCAGTATAGTCGAACGCATAGCCGTTCAGCCACAGACAAAGCAGCAGGGATGCGGTGCTTCATCGAGGACTCCCGCACATCCTCGTCCTCTCGTTCCCTCGCTTGGGCATTCCGCCGCCGCAGAGGTGGCAGCCTGGACAACCAAGGACCTTGCATCCTCATCACTAGCTGTTCATGTTTTTCTGACTGTGCAGGTGTTCCCCCAAGCCCCGAGGAGGTAATGAGGGGTCTCATCAGGGACGACCCGTCCAGACGCATGACTCTGGAGGAGATGCTCGAGTCGGAGTGGCTCTCCAGGAACGCGGACGACTTCGAGACGCCGCATGAGGACGACCCGTGGCTTGTGATTCCGCGCACTCCCCATGAGCCTTCGAAGTGGTTGGTGCCATACTTGGGCGGCTCCCCGCTACTGACGATATCTAGTTTTATCGGGTCGCAACAAGTGCATCTGTTGAACAGGACGCTCGCAGACCTTAAACTCCATGCTCTGACGCATGTTATGCTTGTGAGACAGCCAGGTACGGAGGATAGGTTCACGAATCCAAGTGAAGACATCAGGTTGAAAACTGGTATGCATGTATACCTAGGTATTCCCGCCGACTCGGTGGATACGGACGCGGCTGTGGAAGTGGTTGAAGAGGTGTTTCTGCCTGGACGTGCGTTGAGCAAACGTCGTAGTCACGACTCTGCGTGTTCGGAGGAGGAGTTGGCACCATGTCCTGACAGACCGTCGATGTTCCCGGCTTGTCGCGGCAGCCTTGTTGCCAAGTACGATTTGCACGACGTGACCAAAGCCTATGCCCGCAGCAAATTCGAGGTAGCTGAAACGGGCGCTATATACGCTTTCGCCATGGAGTTTGACAGCTTTAGATTCCCACAGCACATAGGCCACGAGGCCACAATTGGGAAGGAGCCTCTGCGTGGCCCCAGGCGGGAGTTCAACGACGTCGGGCACATTGCCCTCAATTTGAAGGGCGCTTTCAATATCAATCTGGTTGGCATACAGCGCGTGGGAGAGGACAGCGTGGAGTGGTTTCCCGACCCCATCGTCCAGGTGAGGCCCGGCGATCTTGGCATAGTCGCAAGGTGCCCAATGACAGACGGCTCGAGCAAGCCTTCCGTTGATGAGGAAGCGCTCGCGAGTCTCATGATCGAGGAGCGTTTCATTGACGTCATCATGGCTCGTCGAGATTGCGCTCATGTGCCCGTCGAGGTGGGCGTCGTAAGGAATGAGATGTTCTCCAGCGTGCGCGTGTACAAGAAGCCCTGGGACGAGCAAGCGGGACAAGCAAACGGGGCATGACGATGGAAGCGCAGGGAGCAGACAAAGATAACCGAGCCATGATCAAAGGCTTCAGTGTCTTGCGTTGCTCCTGCGAGTTTCCAGGTATATTGTCGTCTTCGGGGGTGATCGATCGCCACAAGACTTTCGAGGATCCCGTGCGAGACCCATGTGAATTCCACCCTACATTTGACGAATGAAATCCATAGATCACCGCAGTGATTCGGTCAACAGATTTTGTTCACAGGCGATTGCACGGTGCCCCGCGAAGGATCCCCCCGTTTGCTGGCCAAGGCTGGGCTGTGCTCCATCCAGGGATCGTTTGTCAGGTCTGGAGAGGGAACGTATGCATCGCGAGCCATCCACAGGGCCCAGTCCTTGTGCATGTTTCCCCCCCTGCCGAAGTGGCTTTAGACCTGCCGTCTGCTGCGGTCTCCCATTGGCCCAGCCGACGGCCGTACCCCCGCCTGCCCGACCCATGACAGCCCGTAAAGAAGCCAGCGCTCACGCTCATCGGGGAGATACCCACCGGCACCGAGGTCAAGATCAGTGCGCCTGCGGCCTCTGCCGGCCGTCCCCCATGGGCTGGCGAGGACGAGGGAGCTCCGTGGGAGGCAGACAGATTGGCACCTGCTCGTCTCTATCCCCCCCCGCGGGTAATGTGTATGTATGTATGTATGTATGTATGTATGTATGTATGTACGTACGTACGTACGTACGTACGTACGTACGTATGTATGTATGTATGTATGTATGTATGTATGTATGTATGTACGTACGTACGTACGTACGTACGTATGTACGTAGTATGTATGTATGTATGTATGTATGTATGTATGTACGTACGTAGTACGACGTACGTACGTACGTACGTATGTATGTATGTATGTATGGTATGTATGTATGTATTACGTACGTACGTATGTACGTATGTATGTATGTATTACGTACGTACGTACGTACGTAACGTACGTACGTATGTATGTATGTATGTATGTACGTAGTACGTACGTATGTATGTAGTATGTATGTATGTATGTATGTATGTAAGTACGTACGTACGTACTTACGTACGTACGTACGTGTATGTATGTATGTATGTATGTATGTATGTATGTATGTATGTATGTACGTGTACGTTACGTACGTATGTATGTATGTATGTATGTATGTATGTATGTAGTATGTATGTATGTATGTATGTATGTATGTATGTATGTACGTACGTACGTACGTACGTATGTACGTGTATGTATGTATGTATGTATGTATGTATGTATGTATGTACGTACGTACGTACGTACGTATTATGTATATGTATGTATGTATGTATGTATGTGTACGTACGTACGTACGTAGTACGTATGTACGTAGTATGTATGTATGTAGTATGTATGTATGTGTATGTACGTACGTACGTACGTACGTACGTACGTACGTATACGTATGGTATGTATGTATGTATGTATGTATGTAATGTACGTACGTATGTACGTACGTACGTACGTACGTACGTACGTACGTACGTACGTATGTATGTATGTATGTATGTATGTATGTATGTACGTACGTAGTATGTAGGTAGTATGTACGTACGTAGGTAGGTAGGTAGGTATGTATGTATGTATGTATGTATGTATGTACGTACGTACGTACGTACGTACGTACGTACGTATGTATGTATGTACGTATGTATGTATGTATATATGTGTATATTCATACCATACAGAGAGAGAGAGGGAGAGAGAGAGAGAAAGAAAGAGACCTTCTGACCGTCGCCGTACTAATTGGTTCCTCGGTTCGGCACATGATCGAGGAGGCGGCTGTGGCGCGCGGTCCCTTGTGAGCTTCGGGATTAGACTCACTGGGGCCTTTCATGGCGCCTCCTGGTGCCTCTTCGGGGCCGTCTGGAGGCCTCTCGGGGCCTCTTCTGGGCCTCTTTGGTGCCTCTTGGGGCTTGTTGAGGGCCTTCTGGCGGTCTCGGAGGCCGTCTCGGGGCTCTCTTGGGCCGTCTTGGGCGCCTCGTAGGCCGCCTTGGAGCTCTCTTGGGCCGTCGTGGGGGGCGTCTTGAAGGCCTGTTGGGCCATCTTGAGGCGGTCTGAGGGGCGTTGTGGGCCGTCTTGAAGCGTCGGAAAACCCAAAGTCGTATACGCGGTTTTGGCCTCTTGGGAGGCCTCTTAGGGCTCTCTTGGGGCGTTTTGGGGGCCTCTTGGGCTGTGTTGGGGCCATCTTGGACGACTTGGAGGTCCGTTTGCCCGTCTTGGGGCCCTCTGAGACCATCTGGGGCCGTCGTAGGCCCTCCAGGGGCGCTCTGGACCCAGCGGCCCCCACCAGGCCTGGTGTCTGACCGGATCAGTTTTCTATGTATGTAGGGCTTCAAGCAAACTATATATACATATAATACACATATACATGTATTTGCATATTCTACATCTAGTGCGTCTTGGATGTTCTTGCAAGGGGCGCCGCAAGGCCGAGGCACACTGGATATGGGTAATTGTCGAGCCTCTAGGGGCCAGATTCTTGTCCATATCTAGTGCGCATCGGGCCTCGGGTTTCTGGGGAAGTGCAGCCGAAACTCCAGGCTGCAATGGATATGAACACAAGTCTTGCCCGCACCTCCGCCTCCCTCTTCTCTTCATCCGTCGCCGCAGCCACTGCTGGCCCAGGGTGGCGTCCGATGATGCGTGGCTCAGGCCAGCCCCTCGTTGACTTCTGCGTTTTCGTATGCGTGCTGTCGTCCAATCTCCATCCCGGCAGATGGGTTTTGCTTTTGGTTGGCTCGATCTGCGCGTTGCAGAGAAGTTCCTTGGGTTCCGTACTTGGTAACCGTGTCGCCGTGCTCATGCCTGTCCAGTCTAGAAGCCATGCGCCTAGACGGCACGTCGGTTTGACAGTCGGCTCAGGCAGTCGACAAGGCCGTTCGTGTATAGTGCAATATAGCATTCTCATTCCTGCGGAGGCTGGACGGCTCATCGCGAGGTAGCTGGCATCGAATTCGGGCGTTGGAAGGGGAGCCACCAGCTGGAACATCAAGGGCCCGTTCGCGCCCAGATTGGTGGGACTGTTTTTTTTACGTGTCACTCTGCGAGGTAATAGGCATCGTCTTCGGGCCTCCCAAGGGCAGTCACCACGGAGTAAGTCACGGGGCCAGTTCGCGCCAAGATTGGCTGGACCTTTTAGGTAGAACGCCAACTTGGGTAAGCAAAACGATACCGATCATTTTGAGAGGGACCCCTTTGGTGGGGACACGTGACCACGAGCACTCTGCGCCACCCCCGGGCAGGATCCCATGGGTGGAACGCCACCCATGGTTCGGGCCAAGGCAACGGTAAATATATTCACGCCGCGTCAGTTCAAGTGTTTGCCAGAAGAAGTAACACCGCTTACAGGGCATGATTCGGGTGTCCCAGCGTCGGAACATGATTCAACATGCACTGGACCTGCTTGCAGGGCCTCGGCCCCCCAAGAACCGAAGATGTTGTCTCTCAGCCTGGCGGCGCGCGGCAACGCAGCCAGCGGATCCGCGACTGTTGCGGCGATTTCCTGCTCGTGGAATCTGGCGCTGTCAGCGGATGCCGGCAAAGCACCAAGCCACTCACACAACGATCTGTTCGGAACGATTTCTGGTTGTGAAAAGTGGGAGGCATGGGAAGTCAGATTTGCATGCGTTATGATCGCAGTTTCATTCTCCTTGCTTCCTGCTAATCCCCTTCAGGATGGGTTGGAGTGAAGAACGTGCACGCCGAGACGACATCATGAAGATTTTCGAGACTGCAGAGAACTCACAGGTTCCCGCCAGGGGACGAGGGCATTTCGGCAGGCAGTGCAGTTCGTGATTCTTGGCGGGGAGGAGTTCGACCGAAGCCGGGCGGCGCCCGCCGAGCACCTGGCGGACATGGGCGCCGGGCTTGCATGGCCAGCCGTGCTCCCGTTGTGCGGCGGGTCTCGCCCCGGCCCTCCGCGGGGCCGACGCCCTCCCGGCACTGCGGAGAGCGATGGGCTGCCGGACGCCGGCAGACCCGCTCAGATGAGCATTCTCGGGCGCGTGCTGGCGGCGGCATGACCGCGGAGTGCAGCAGACCGATCGTCTCGCCATTGGGGGGGGAACGGCTCCCTGCAGGAATTTGGCCGCTCTCGGGGTCCAGGGAGCCCGCCCTTTCAACCGTCCACAAAGTTGTTCGGGATGACGGCGTGGTTCCAGAGGGGCCCACGGGGACATGGAGCCGAAAGCCCCCAAGACCTTTCCCCCCATGCCGACGGACCGAGCGTCCCCCCCCGCCCAGGGACACGTGCAGAGGGAGGGGTTGAGGTGAGGAGGGGAGGAGGATCTGCGCGGGGGGAAGTGTTGCCAGCCAGGGAGGGAGGGAAAGGGGGGGGTGGGATGAAGTGAGTGGCGGGAAAAAGAGGGGAGAAGAATGGAGGAGGTGCAGTGGAGGGGGAGGAAAGGAGGAGTTGAGGGAAAAGTGGAGGGGAGGTGATGGGAGATGAGGGGAGGATGGAATGGGGACGGATGGTGGGTTGGAGAACGAAGGTGTTCCTCCTCGGTTTTCTCTTCCACTTTCCTCGCGTTTGCTCCTCATTCGTCATACTCCCTCCTCTTCTCGTCTCCCCTCGGGAGATTCGAGGAGTAATGCAGGATCAGGAATAGCAGCAGTACCGGAATGAGCAGGGGGAGACGCAGAGGAAATAGGTCGATGAGGTGAATCATGAGAGGGAGACAGAGTAGGCGGAGTGGGGGGAGGGAGGACGTATGATGGGAGGGGATTTGAGTGGGAAGAGAGGGGAGGAGGATGAAGAGGGTGATGATCAGGAACAGGAGGAGAGGGGACGGGCGGAGTTGGAGGATGTAGATCAGCACGACGATGGGTGGGAGGAGCATGATGAGTTCAAGGAGGAGGGGGGGAGGGGAGGAAGACGATCAGGACGGGAGCAGAGCAACATGAGCAGGAACATGAGCAGGAGAGACCATGGTGGTGAGGGATTCGTTAGGACGATGGGAGAGGGGATCATATGTGAGGGGGAGAGAGGGGGGAATGGGCAAGCAGGGTGGTTAGGAGGGGGAATCCGAAGAGCGGGGAGCTAGTGGCCCTCCTTCCTTCTTCGTTGAATCTCCGTCCTTCTTCGTTACCCTCTCACATCGCGTGATGTTCCTCCTCGTCCTTTCTCGCCTGGCCAGCACTGATACGGCGAATACGCAGATCGGCCGTTCCGGCGGCAGGCATGCTTTCGCGCAGACCGCACGGTGGGTTGTTGCTTGCTCGACGCCAGCCTAGCGCCATTGCGAATCGGCCTTTTGCACCCCCGTCTGATCCCTATCCGAGCACAGCGCGGCGGAGACAGGTGCTGCCTTTGACAGAGTCGGAAATCTACCGCTTCCGTGCGGTTGCGTGCAACTGACCTTGTTGGTTGTTGAGTCTCTATCCGCCCCCTTAAGCCCCCACTGCCTCCTCACCACTCTTTAGTGCTTTTTCTTCTTCTTCTCCTCCTTCTTCTTCTTCTCGGCGCTGCCTCCCTCCTCCCCCTCCCCCCCGAATATTCGACCGAGGCGATGCTAGCCGCGGGCTCCCTGTCGCCGCCACCGTCCTCGCTCGCATCCGCGTTTCCGAGGCGGGGGTTGATCCATGAACATCACTTGGGAAATCGACCTTCGGGGACATCGACAGGCTGTGGATATGGAGATAATCGCTGCCCCTCGCCGCACAGTATATTCATATACACCGCCCGCTGGTTCCCCAGGCGAAGATATGGATGCATCCCCGTCGTCGTCGTTGTCGTTGTCGTCGTCGCCTTCGTCGTTGTCGTCGCCGTCATCGTCGTCGTCTTGATCGCCGTCGTCGTCTTGATCGCCGTCGTCGTCGTCGTCGTCGTCGCTGTCGTCATCGTCTTGATCGCCGTCGTCGTCGTCTTCATCGTCGTCGTCTTGATCGCCGTCGTCGTCGTCATCGTCGTCGTCGTCTTGGTCGCCGTCGTCTCCGTCGTCGTCTTGATCGCCGTCGTCGTCGTTGTCGTCGTCGTCTTGATCGTCGTCTTGATCGTCGTCTTGATCGCCGTCGTCGTCGTCATCGTCGTCGTCGTCTTGGTCGCCGTCGTCTCCGTCGTCTTCTTGATCGCCGTCGTCGTCCTCGCTCGCGTCCGCGTTTCCGAGGCGGGGTTTGATCCGTGAACACCTGCGAGATCGACCTTCGGGGACATCGGCAGGCTGTCGATATGGAGACATTCGCTCCCCCGGGGCGGCACAGTATATTCATATACACCGCCTGCTGGGGTCCCAGGACGTCGGTTCCCCAGGCGGAGATATGGATGCATCCCCGTCGTCGTCGTTGTCGTTGTCGTCGCCTTCGTCGTCGTCGTCGCAGTCATCGTCGTCGTCTTGATCGCCGTCGTCGTCTTGATCGCCGTCGTCGTCGTCGTTGTCATCGTCGCGATCACCGCCGTCGGCATCGTCGTCTTGATCGCCGTCGTCGTCGTCATCGTCGTCGTCTTGGTCGCCGTCGTCTCCGTCGTCGTCTTGATCGCCGTCGTCTCCGTCGTCGTCTTGATCGCCGTCGTGAATGTTGTTGACGTCATCGTCGTCGTCTTGATCGCCGTCGTCGTCCGCGCTCGCGTCCGCCCTTCCGAGGCGGGGTTTGATCCGTGAACACCTGCGAGATCGACCTTCGGGGACATCGGCAGGCTGTCGATATGGAGACATTCGCTCCCCGGGGGCGGCACAGTATATTCATATACGCCGCCCGCTGGTTTCCCAGGACGTCGGTTCCCCAGTCGGTGGATATGGATACACCCGCAGGTTCTCCATGACGTCGGTCCCCAGGGGTTTCCCAGGACGTTGGTTCCCCGTCGTCGTCGTTTTCGTCGTCGTCGTCTTGATCGTCGTCGTCGTCTTCATCGCCGTCGTTGTAGTCGTCTTGATAGCCGCAGTCAGCTTAATTGCTGTCGTCGTCGTCTTGATCGCTGCCGTCGTAGTCGCTGTCGTCCTCATCTTGATCGCCGTCGTCGTCGTCGTCGTTGCCTTGATCGCCGTCGTCATCGTCGTCGTCTTGATCGTCGTCGTCGTCATCGTCGTCGTCTTGATCGCCGTTGTCGTGGTCCTCGTCGTCGTCGTCGTCTTGGTCGCCGTCGTCGTCGCTGTCGTCGTCGTTGTCTTGATCGCCGTCGTCGTCGTCGACGTCTTAATCGTCGTCGTCGTCCTGATCGCCGCCGGTGTCGTCGTCATCGTTGTCGTCGTCGTCTTGATCGCGGTCGAGGTCGTCGTCTTTCTTGCCGTCTTCGTCGTCGTTCGTCGCCGTTGTCGTCGTCTTCGTCGTCTTTATCGCTGTCGTCGTCTTCGTTGTCTTGATCGCCGTCGCCGTCGTCTTCGTCATCGTCTGGATCGCCGTCGTCGTCGTCGTCGTCTTGATCGCCGTCGTCGTCGTCGTCGTCGTCGTCTTGATCGCCGTCGTCGCCGTCGTCGTCGACGTCGTCGTCTGGATCGCCGTCGTCGTCGTCGTCATCGTCGATGTCGTCGTGATCGCTGTCGTCTTCGTCGTCGTCACGGTCGTCTTGATCGCCGTCGTCGCCAGCATTGTCGTCATCGTCTTGATCGCCGTCGGCGTCGTCGTCGTCTTGATCGGCATCGTGATCGCCGTCGTTTTCGTCGTCGTCGTTGTCGTCGTTGTCGTCGTCGTCTTGATCGCCGTCGTCGCCAGCATTGTCGCCGTCATGATCGCCGTCGTTTTCGTCGTCGTTGTCGTCGTCTTCGTCGTCTTGATCACTGTCGTTGTCGTCGACGTCTTGATCGCCGTCGTTGTCGTCGTGTTGATTGGCGTCGTCGCCGTTGTCGTCATCGCCGTCGTCGTCGTCGTCGTTTTCGTCGTCGTCGTCGTCGTCGTCTTGATAGCCGTGGTCGCCGTGGTCGTCATCGCCGTCGTCGTCGTCGTCTTGATCGCCGTCGTCGTCGTGGTCGTCGGCTTGATCGCCGTCGTCGCCGTCGTCGCCGCCGCCCCGAACCCAGGCTGGGCCAGACCTGCGCGCCAGCGCGCGCGCGCGCGACGCCGGCCGGTCCCCGCCGTGCCCAGGTCGGGTGCCTGCGGCCTGGTTCCCGCAGCGCGTCACTGCTTCTGAAGGTCTTCTGCCTCCTCGCGTTGTCGACGTCGACGCCGCCGTTGTCGCCGACAACCTCGCAGCGGGCGTCGTCGTCGCACAGTGGAGACCCATGCCAAGAAACACCCTGCTTGCCTTCAGGGTGCCCTGGGTTTTTTTGGTTTCGATGGTTTTTCGGTGGAAGGCGTGACGTTCCCACACCAAAGATCAATGGACGTCCTGGGGTCTCAGGGTTGGGTTTCTTGTGGAAGATTTCTTGTGGACTGGCCTCCACTGTTTAGTAGGAGGGAATGAAGGAGGAGGAGGAGGAGGGGGAGGAGGAGGAGGAGGAGGAGATGAGGAGTCGGAGGAGGAAGACGACGACGACGACGAAGAGGAGAAGGAGGAGGAAGAGGAGCACGGTGGCAGAGGCATGGGGGCACCGATCAGGAGTCAGGGCTGGACAGGGTTGGAGGAGGATGAGGTGGAAGAAGAGGGGAGGAGGGCTTGGCGGAAATGATCGCGCGGGTAGGGTAGATGGCGGGATGAACATGGTAGCATTGTGCAGCGTTGAGGTTGGGTCGGGGATTGCACTTGGGCCCAATAGGAGAAGATGAGGATGGTAGAGGGGAGGAGTACAAGAGACAAGGTGGAGGAGTAAAAGGAGGAAGAGAAGGAGGAGGAGGAGGAGGAGGAGGAGGAGGAGGAGGAGGAGGAGAGAGGAGGAGGAGGAGAGAGGAGGAGAGAGGAGGAAGGTGACGGAGCGGACAGTGATAAGGAGGGAGAAGGTGGAGGAGGCAGAGTGTAGATGAAGAGCATTTTATCTACAACATGTTGGCGTCCGATTAGACCCTAGACAGCCTGCAACGTAAAATGAGTATGATGAGGGGAGGAGGAAAAAGAAGAGGAGGAGGAGGAGCATGAGGACTTCGACGACGACAACGAGGCTGAACGACGACGACTAGGGAGCAGGGCAGAGGAGGAAGCAGGAGAGAGGCCAGGAGGAGGATTCTTTGGGTGGGACAGCGTACGATATGAGGATGGGGAAGAGGAGGACGGCCGCGACAGGCGGGAGGAGGGATGCAGGGGAGCATAACAGAAGAATGAAGGAGGAGGAGGAGGGGGAGGAGGAGGAGGAGGAGGAGAACAAGGAGGAGTAAAAGGAGGAGGAGGAGGATGAGGAGTGGGAGGAGTGGGAGGAG